AAGAGCAGTCAGTGCTCTTAACCTCTGAGTCATCTCTCTAGCCCCCATACACTGTATTTTGATTATATTTTTCTCCTTCCCAACTCCCTACCTCCTTACCCATCCCATTTCACAGTTCTTTTCTTTTTAAAAATTTATTTATGTAATGAGTGATCTGTCTTCTGGATGACAGAAGACGACATCAGATCCCGTTATAAATAGTTCTAAGACACCACATGGTTGCTGGGAATTGAACTCAGAACCTCTGGAAGAGCAACCAGTGCTCAAAACCACTAAGCCATCTCTCCAACCCTCTTTTTTTTCTTCAATTGTTTTTATTGAGCTATATTAAATTTTTCTCCACTCCTCTCCCTCCCTCTCCCATGGTCCCCATCAGACCTCTTTTTCTAAAAAAAAAAAAAAAAAAAAAACCAATACATAAAGTCCAAATTGACTAGAATGTGGCTCATATATCCAGTATCACTCCACTGAAGGGAACTGATTTTCCCTCTCCCATCAGCTGTCTCTTGCAAAGAGCTTCTTGGCTAAGGTTGGGTAGGATCTGTGTCACCTGTCAGTGCTGGGATTTTATCTGACTTGAACAAGGTCCCCCCTCCCCGCTTTCAGGACAGGGTTTCCCTGTGTAACCCTGGCTGTCCTGAAGCTCACTCTGTGAACCACCCTGATCTTGAAATCAGACATCTGCCTCTGCCTCCTGGTGCAAGTCTTATGCATGCTGTCAGTCTGTGAGCTCATGCATGCACCTCCCCTGATGTCTCTGGAAAATGCTCTTGAAGTTATCCATCACTTCAGGCTCTGACAGTCTTTCTGCCCCCTCATCCATATAGATCTCTGAGCTTTGAGGAGATCGGTGTGATACAGATGTCCTATTTAGGGCTGAGTGTTCCAAAGTCTCTTATTCTCTGCAAGGTGACCAACATTGGGGGAAGCATTGTTTTATTGTTATTTGCTTGCCTGCTCTTTTGGGAGACAAGTCTTGTTGGAAGACAAGATCTCACTATGTAGCCCTAGTTGGTGCTATATACACCAGGCTGGCCTCAATGGCCTCAGATTCACAAAGATCTGTTTCCGCCTCCTAAGTGCTAGGACTAAAGATGTGTGCCATTATGTCTGATTCTTTTTTTTTTTAAGACAAGGTCTCACTTTGTAGCCCAGTCTTGCCTTGAACTAACAGCAATCCTCTTGTTTCAGTATCCCAAGTGCTAGGATTACAGACACAAGGCACCAACCCCCCTGCTACATTTGTTTACATTTTTTTTAATGGCAGACTCTCATTGACCCCAACTCACAATATTCCTGTTTCAACTTCCAAAGTCTCTACAGTACAAGTGAGAGCCACTGAACTCAGCTGGAAATGTGTGCTGTGGAAATGTAACTCCAAAAGGAAGACGTTTTGAGTTGATGCTCAAACTGGCTTTGGAAGATCACTCAAGAAAAACAAAGGAAGCTTTCCAGATGAAAGTAGGCCAAGGTGCTGGGAAGATGGCTCACTGGTTTAGAGCATTTTTTTAAAGATTTTTTTTTCATTTTTTAAAATTTTTTAAATTGAGCTATATATTTTTCTCTGCTCCCCTCCCACTCTTCCCCTCCCCTTCTACCCTCCCATGGTTCCCATGCTCCCAATTTACTCAGGAGATCTTGTCTTTTTCTACTTCCCATGTAGATTAGATCCATGTATGTCTCTCTTAGTATTCTCTTTGTTGTTTAGGCTCTCTAGGATTGTGAATTGTAGGCTGGGTTTTTTTGTTTGTTTTATGTCTAAAAGCTACTTATGAGTGAGTACATATTATATTTGCCTTTCTGTGTCTGGGTTACTACATTCAATATGATCTTTTCTAGATCCACCCATTTGCCTGCAAATTTTAAGAGGTTATTATTTTTTTTCCGCTGTGTAGTACTCCATTGTGTAAATGTATCACATCTTTACCCATTCTTTGGTTGATGGGGCATTTAGGTTGTTTCCAGGTTATGGCTATGACAAACAAAGTTCCTATGAACATAGTTGAACACATGTCCTTGTGGTACGACTGAGCATCCTTTGGGTATATACCCAAAAGTGGTATTACTGGGTCTTGAGGTAGGTTGTTTCTTAATTTTCTGAGAAATCATCATAGTGATATCCAAAGGGGCTGGACCAGTTTACACTCCCACCAGCAATGCAGGAGTGTACCCTTTACCTCACAACCTCTCCAGCATAAGTTGTCATCAGTGTTTTTGATCTTGACCATTCTTACAGGTGTAAGATGGAATCTCAGGGTTGTTTTGATTTGCATTTCTCTGATGGCTAAGGATGATGACCATTTCCTTAAGTGTCTTTCAGCCATTTTAGATTCCTCTGTTGAGAGTTCTCTGTTTAGGTCTGTACCCCATTTTATTAAGAGCATTTGTTCTTACAAAGGACCCAGGACAATATGGTAGCTCACAACCATCTTTAACTCCAGTTCCAGAAAATTCAACCCCTCTTCTGTTCTCTTTGAACCTCTGTGGACACAGACATACAAGCATACAGGCAAAAACATTCATATATATAAAATAAATCTAAAGAAAAAAGAAAGTAAGTCAAATGTAGAAGGTACAGGTCATAATGGCACATGCCTTTAACCTGAGCACTCAGGACACAGATGTGGGTGGATCTCTATGAGTCAGAGGCCAGTCTGGTATATATAGTGAGTTCCAGGACAGCCAGAGAAAGACCCTGTCTCCAAATAAATAATGCAAAAGAAGTACCCATAAAAAATCTTTCCCCTGTATCTGGCTGTCCTTGAACTCATTCTGTAGACCAGGCTGGCCTGGAACTCAGAAATCCGCCTGCCTCTGCCTCCTGAGTGTTAGGATAAAATATGTGTGCCACCGCTTCTTGGACCAAGAAAAATTCTTGATAGCAGAATTAAAGGAAAATAGACTCTAGATCATGAGGAATCACAGAGAACACTGAATATATTCTTATAGACCATGGGGCTTCCTTAAGGAATCTGGTGGTTTTGGGTTTTTTTTTTAAGATTTTATTTATTTATTATGTATACAACATTCTGCCTCCATGTATGCCTGCAGGCCAGAAGAGGGCACCAGATCTCATTACAGATGGTTGTGAGCCACCATATGGTTGCTGGGAATTGAACTCAGGACCTCTGGAAGAGCAGCCAGTGCTCTTAACCACTGAGCCATTTCTCCAGCCCTCCTTAAAGAGTTTGAAAGAGGTGGAGCTTGGTAAGGCTTGCGTTTGGAGGGCAGTTCATACCTGAGACCCTGATACGTGTGTTTAGAACAGATTAGGGGAAGAGGAGACCTGAACACAGGCATCTGGCTGGGAAAGCATGTAAGTGTTGAAGGCATTTTGTTTTGGGCAGGATGTGGTGCAGGAGCATGACCAAGAGGCCAAAGCAGAATGCCAGGCGTCTACTGCTCTCTACATCACTGCCTTTGCGGCAGGATCTCTCACTTAACTGGAAGCTAACTTAGTTCTGGTGTTGAACAGCATGCTCCACTTTTTCTGTGGGTGCTCACGAACTCGGGGCCTCATGCCTGCACAGCAAGCACTCTCATTCACTAAGCCATCTCCTCAACTTCTCCAATGTTGCTTTTTGGGATTTTTCTTTCCTCCCCACCCCCCCAAACAATGTACTACTGGCAAGGAAGGCACCAGGTCTCATTACAGATGTTTGTAAGCCACCATGTGGTTGCTGGGAATTGCACTCGGGACCTCTGGAAGAACAGCCAGTGCTCTTACCTTCTGAGCCATCTCTCCAGCCCTTTTCTTTCTTTTAAAAGACACGCTCTTATTCTGCAATCTAGGCTAGCCTCAAACTCATTGTGTTGCCCAGGGTGACCTTGGAACACCTTTGGTCCTGGAGTTACTGTATTAGTACACCCCATCTGCCTAGATATATGTTATTTATAGACACAGTAACAACCTTTCCAAGTCTTTACTGTGTGAGATATGTTGATACAGTGTATTTTATTGTATCCTACTTTAGTTTCAAGATGTTGGCTACACACCGATTTTGTGACATATTGATTACTTTGTAACTACTTGGTCTTAAGACACTCCAATGTCTTGGGGAAGGGGATGCAGACAGAGGTTAGCTTGGGATGCGCTCTTTCAGACTGAGTCTCAACCTCGACAGCGCAGCAAAACTACCTAAGTACTACTGAAAATGCAGCTCTCCGGATATGTGAATATTCAGAAATATCTGCAACACTTCTGCCCAGCAAGCATACAAAAGCAAATGAATACTTACAGAGCAGAGAACCACTAAGCTCAGGAGTTATGTGACAGCCTGGGGAGGAGCCCAGGCGGGGGCAGAGAGCATTGCGTGTAGCACCTGCGGTGTCAGGCACGTCCCGGTGCCTAGGCCCTCGCCTAGCAGAAACCATCGCCACAGGACCCGGGGACGGTGACCGACTAACCGACCGTGTCAGATCAGGTTCTCAGGCGCGGGCCCGCGGCGCGAACGACAACCGCCCCACAGTGCCCCGCGGCGCGCACGCGCAGACCGCCGCTCCCGGAGTGCAGCACTGCGGCCC